ATGCAGAGCTGCTTGTGAGTACCAGGTGCCCAGGCTGCAGCCGCACGCATCTTCCTGCCATCCTTAGCCAACACCTCTCAGGACTTCCCTCTCCAGGTCAGTGGCTGGCTGTGAGCCCACCTTCTGTGTCAGCCGGTGAGGGCTGATCTAACTGGCTGTACCTCTAGGGTAAGGAGTAGCTATGGGAAGAGCATATCAGGTTGGGGAACAGGGCAGGGGGTAGGCAGCACCTAGGATAAGAAAGCTAATTTGAAAGTACTGATTTTTACTTCTGTTGACATCAAGATGGAGGACAGGGTCTATCACATGCTAGACACTCATTTTCCTATTTAGTTCCACCCTTAACGCTTCTTCCTCTTCATCTTCTCCACCGTGTCAGAGGGTAGGTTCACAGAGACTCTGAACACCACTGTGGGTCCTTCTGAAGACACACTAATCTGCTGGTCATGGGAGTTTGTCTTAGGCCACGTTCTATCGCTGTGAAGAGACTCTGCGACCACGGCAGCTCCTGTAAGGGAAAGCATTTAACTGGGGCTGGCTTGCACTGGAGAGGTCTAGTCCGCTGTCCTCCTGGCAGGAAGCATGGTGGCATGCGGGCAGACATGGTGCCGGAGAGTAGCTAAGAGTTCTACATCTGGATCTGCAGGCAGCGGGAAGAGAGAAAGAGACTGGGCCTGGCTTGGGCTTCTGAAACCACAAAGCTCACCTCCAGTGACACACTTCCTCCAACAAGGCCACACCTCCTAATTCCCGTCAAGTAGCATCCCTCCCTAATGACCAAGTATTCAAGCATATGAGCCGAGGGGCGCCATTCCCATTCAAACCACCACTGCGTGCTAATAGGAGCTGTAGCAGTCAGTTCTTGCTGTGTGACAAATCACCCCAGAATTCAGCAGTCCTCTGTGTGGCTGAGAAGTGTCCTGGTCTCTCAGTTTTCCCACAGTGTTAACAGATTGTACATCCTGCTGTTGGCCTTTGCCTGAAACCATTCTGAGCCTTTCCTTGTGTGTGTGTGTGTGTGTGTGTGTGTGTGTGTGTGTGTCTGACTTTCATGTATGTTGTGTGCATGCTTATATGTATATAAGTATGTGTGTGCAAGCGTGTAAGTGTGTGCCTGATTTTCATGTATGTTGGGTGCATGTTCGTGTGTGTTTGTGTGTGTGCATACCTGTGCGTCTATGTGTGGAGGCCAGAGGTCAGCCTCCAGGTGTCTTTCTCAGATGCTGTCCGCCTTGCTTTTTTCACTGGCTGGTAGCTTACCAGTGAGGCTAGGCTGATTGGCTAGAGAAGGCTGCTCCTATCTCCACCTCCCTAACTCTGGGATTCCGACCATGTGGCAGCACTCCTGGCATTTTACATAGGTTCTGGGAGGAACTCAACCCCTCATGCTTCCACAGCAAGCATGCTATCAACCATACTGTCTCCCCAGCTCTGGGAACCATTTCCTAGTTCTTTTGGCATGTGGAAAAGAGAATATTTTTCTTTAAAAGCAATTTCATTGCCTTCTATTTATTGTGTCACACACACACACACACACACACACAGACATGTGTGTGTGTACATGTGCGCTAAGGTACACATGAGGAAGTCAGGGGTGGGGGGTCAGTTCACTTCTTCCATAATGTGGGTCCCAGGGATTGAACTCAGGTCACCAAGTTTGTTGGCAGGCACCTTTTGCCTGAGCCAGTTTGCTGGCCTTAGTATGAGAATTTTCAAGGCCCCAGCCCTAGCTCCAAGCAGCCAGAAGGACGAAGCTTGCACACTGAGTCCAGGTGTGGCTGCCTTCTCTATCCCATCCTTCAGTTTGCAGCCTCACCGTCTCCTTCCACATCACTGACACAGGCCACAGTGCCCCTGAGTTTCTGCCACTGAATACCAAGGCACTTCTTCCTCTAAGTCTCCTGAAGGAGCCTCACTGCCCACTGTGCCCCTGACAGCATCGTTCATTTCTTGATTCTTGTTCTTCTGAGACTCAAGCCGAGCGGGATGCTTTTCCTACTACGCATCCCAACCTCCTGCCACTTGTACATACTACTTGGTCCAGAACCTCCTCCTAATTTCATTTGTTTGTCCTGGCAACACCCCAATCACGGCATCAAAATGTGTGTTGGTGAGATATTGCCATGTGACACATGACCAGAGAGCACAGTGGCTTCAAGTTTTCGAAAGTCTCAAAAGTTTGGCTTTCAGTTGCTATGGCTACAGAGACCCAAATTATAGTCTCATGTGGAAGAACTGGTGCCCAAGAGATGTGTCCAGGGTGTTGAAAATGTGGGTTTATTGAGTGACTTCCAAGTCAGACATGTAAGGTAATGTAAGCATTTTTCACAGCTTCAGGAAAAAGGGAGGTGCTGGTATGTCCGCCTACTGCCTGCATTCAGAAAGCCTCGCTGAGGGGCCCCAACCTCACACCGGAAGGAGGGAGGAGGTGGTTCTTTTGGGGGTGGTATCCTCTTGTCTGAGGGCAAGGAGATTAAAGTAGGCCAGTTTTCTGGCTTCTTTGTGTGTGTGTGTGTGTGTGTGTGTGTGTGTGTTTTCTTTTTTTGAGACAGGGTTTCTTTGTGTAGCCTTGGCTGTCCTGGACTCACTTTGTGGACCAGGCTGGCCTTAAACTCACAGAGATCTGCCTGCCTCTGCCTCCCCGAGTGCTGGAATTACAGGTGTGCGCCACTGATCCTGGCTTCTGGCTACTTCTTAGAATCAGTTCAAGAGAACAAGCCAGAGCATAGGCCTGGAAAGTGAGCAGCAGGGAGAGACAACACAACACAGGGGCGCTGATGGCCACAGCCTGCTACACGTGGGTCAGGGCCTGTGGCCAAATTCTCACATTCAGCTGGAGGAGGATCCACTTCCTGGTTCTTCCCAGGGACAGGGCTCTCCTGGTTCTTTGGGGACGCTGGGACCTGGGATTTGTTGCTTCTCATGAACTGCTGGCTGGAGGCTGCCTCATTCTCCTCCACATGGCTTCCGCATGGTACGGCTTCACGAATGGCAGGTCAGAGTAAGCCAACTGAAGGGGGCCAGGGAGAGTGCAAGTAAGGCAAATGCCGTGAATCTGATCCAGGAAGCGATTGCACCGCTTCTCATCAAATCATTTTGATTAAGAAACAGGTTGCCAGGTCCAGTCCGTACTCAAGGACTGGCCAGCCTGTGAGCACTCTGGGTAGGGTTCACCAGGAGTCATAACAGACAATGCACAGTTATCAAATGACCACTTTTACTTTGTGGTGCTGAGGTTAGACCCAGGCAGGGCCTCATGCATTCTAGGCAATCATTCTCCAACTGAGCTGGGCGGACCCCAGGTAATTTAGTCCAAAGTAACAGGGCATTTTGACTAACAACCTTGCAAGGGAGTAAAGTTGGTCTGGTTCCTACCCAATTTGAGCTTAGCAGCAAGGAAAATAAAAATAATTGAATTGTAAATTCTTACGCTTACTTACCAGGCCAAAGTCACATGACATGGCTTTAAGAAATTAAATCAGGCCAGGCTGGAGGAGCCACAGCACAACTGAGGCTGTGACAATTTTATTGAGAGCAATCAGATTTTTTGTACCTTTACCAGAAACAGAATATAATGGCAATTGTCAGGATCAATACAAGTTATAGTTGCCAGGACAGAAAGATGTTTGCAAGCTATCCAGAGTAATGTCTAAGACCACACAAGCTGTCCTGCCAAGTTTGCTGGATGACCTTGCTGGATGACCTTGGACCAGTCTCTCATTCTCTCTCTCTCTCTCCCCCCCCCCCGACCCCAATAATCTCACTGAGAGATTCTTTAGGTTGGCCTTTGGGTGTGTCTGTGGGAGGCTGTCTTGTTAAAGTTGATTGAAGTGGGAGGACCCAGCCCACTGTGGGCGGCACCATTCCCTGGGCTTGGGTTCTGGACTGTTTAACAGTGGAGAACGCGAGCTGAGGCATCAGCACGTGTGCATTTTACTTTTCTCTGCTCTTACCTGTGGGTGGGATTTGAGTAGCTGTTTTAAGTTTCTGCCAATTTTAATTTTCCCTGCTAGGGTGGACTGTAACGTGGAATTGTGAGCTAAGAGAAACCCTCTCTCCCCTAATTGCTTTTGACAGGGTGTTTTGTCATAGCAACGGAAGTGAAACTAGGACACTCTTTCAGCTCAGACTTGACGCTTCTATTCTGTGCCTCTCTTATTTTAAAGATGCTTGTGTGTCAGACCTGGCTTTATTGCACTGACATTACTACATTTGTAGAAACTTGGGGAAAACTTCACATGTGCTTTAAATAAGGGAATATAAATAAGGAAATGATCCCTTAGGAGAAAGGGTACAAAAGCTGCAGGGACCTTTGAGGATGCAGAGCTGATGCCCTTGGGTTCTGGGTCCCTTTCTAGGCTCTCCTAGTGAACTTTCTTCTTCAGGGAACAACCCAAGGGTAAAATGGGCTTGGGGTGAGGCTTGACCAGGCATTCCTGAGGTCCTGGGTTTCATGTTCCCCTCGCCCCAAGCTGCCATGTTTTAGTTGTCCTGTGCGGGGGCCATGTGGAAGGAACAGAGGCAGCTCAGGAGCAAGCACAGACCCTTCATCCAAGCATCTGTGAAGAGCCAAGAGGCAGGATCAACGTAGAAGCCCGTGCCTCTTCAAATAGCAGCTTTCTATTTGGAGAAAGAAATAGAACTTTTAGACCGGGTTGGGAAAGGGGGCTGAGGCAGGGTCCCCACAGCCAGGGCCTCCTGGAGCTGGTGGAAGAGATGGGAGGAGATTAGGAAGGAGTGAGAGAATCTCAGCGACATGGCTATGTGAGAAAGGCCACAGAAGTCCAGGTGGGGAGGCCTTGGCTAGCCGGGAACAGCTGGTGCATGGCAGGTGGCATTGGCGGCTGGCTGCAGCACAGAGTGCCTGGTCAGGGCTGGCTGGGTCGCTGGGGCCTCCCTGGTTCTCAGCTGTCATCCTTTATGGAGGCTGTCACCTGAGACCATTCCGTGTGCATTCCTTTGTCTACAGGGACAAGCCAGGAAATTGCAGGCCCCAGAGCCAGAGTCCATGGAGCTGGGTCCCCGACAAGGTAAGATGGAAGATGGGAACACTGCCAGCACAGACTAGCTTCTTGAAGTGGGGGTCGGGAAGGGTCTCATCTCCTCATCTCCCTCAGTCCTGCTTGAGGCCTCCGGATAGCATGGCCTAACTGACCCAAGACACTGAGCACAGAAGAAAAGTGGAGGAAAGAGCTGCTTGAGCCTTCCATCATCCAGGCCTGGAAGCTCTGACTTAACGTGGTCCTGGTCACCAGCTTCTTTGGGTTAAGATTGGGTTGTTATGGAGAGCCCTTCTATGCATCCAAGTGCAGAGGCTGGGTTAGGGGTGCATCAGGCCTGACTGAACCCCGCTCAGGATGGGTTGGGGTTGGTGGCAGAGAGGAGTATGCATCTATGCTTCTGGCTACTGGGGAAAAAAGATGGCAGGCTTGATAGGGATAAAGAGTCTTAGGCAGGTGTGGCTGAGCCAGTTCAGCTCTGGGAACGTTCCCCCCCTGGTTAGCTGGGGGTGGCAAGTACAGTGAGGAAGGGAATTAACCAAAGTGAGCCAGGGGGACACTAAAGCCCAGAAAGGTGGCCTCTCTTGCTCAAGGCCATGCAGTTAGGCCTAATGAAGGCTGCACATACCTGGGTCACAGCCCCTTTGGTCCTAGCCTTATGGGGACAACCCTGTCCTGTGAAGGTCTTCCCACTGACCTCCCTCTGTCCCCTCCTCTCCCCTTCTTCACCTCGCCTGGGGATCCTGTGATTTCTCTGCTCCATGTACTTGTCTGTCTCTGTCGTCTCTCTGGTTTCTGTCTACTTTCCCTCCCACTGGGCCCTCTGTCACCTTTCCTGCACTCCTCTTTGCCCCTGCTTAGGTACAACCACTTTGACAAAGATCCCCCCGAACAACAAAGAGGGCCAGCAGGATATGGACTCCCGGGGGGCTGCCCATAGCTCCTTGGACAGCTCCAAATCTAAGCAGCATCCAGGGCCCTCGCAGAACCCTGAAGGCCAGAGCCACCTGGAGATCCCACCTCCACCACCAGCTACTACCAGCAGGACTTCTCTGGTCATGACCCCCCAGCCTGAGGACCTGAAGAAGCGGGCATCCAGATCCAGCTTGAGAGAGGGAGTTCTGGGGGAGGAAGGCCGGGACTCCAGGGCCGCAGAGCAGAGGGAAGTGCCTGTGAGCTCAAAGGACAGCGTCATTCCCGAAAACATCCGCCACAAGTTTGGGAGCGATGTGGTGGATCGTCTGATCTCCGAGGAACAGGTGACAGAGCAGGGGCTCGAGAGGCCAAGGGTGCAAGAGGGTTGATCGTCTTGGAGGCTTTCAATGAGGGTTTGAAGGCCATTCCTGGAAACGGTCCCTGTACTGTTAGAAAGTTTTCTGGGACCCGCTACCCATTTGGCATTGCCTGTGTGTGACAGCTATGAGGAAAGAGGCTTTACCTCCACTTCACAGGAAGTCCAAAGTTAACCACGTGTACCCAGCCGTGTGGGGTGAGGATCTCCCCAAAGGGCTGGCGGGTTCCAGAGCTCTGGCTGCCTCTGAGTTTGCAACTGCAAGTCGGCTGTTTGCACTAGACGTTTCCAATCTGAACACATCTCCTAAGGGGGTCAGCGTCTGAGGAGAGTCTGCACTTAGTGGCTATCAGAGACCCAGCTTTGGATCGTGGCTCTACTTCTGCAGGCCGAATGACTCTAGTGAAGCTGCTTTCTGCCTCTGGCCTTCAGTCTCTAGATCTGCAAAAGGGAGCACCCAAACTGGTCAGGCTGCTAAATCCATGGTACACATACCACAGCACTACTCAGGGCAGACATGACTAATCAGTCTTGGCACCCTTTCCCACCTATTTCTAGACAAGCTGTTACTTCACAGCTGGATTCACCTGCCATTTTTAGTCAAAGGATAAGCTCCCCTCCTTCTTTGGTATTGTGCGACATTTAAGAAAAAGATTTATTCATGTTTTTGGGTGCTCTATTTGCATGTGTGCTTGCATGACAGAAGAGGGCATTAGGTCTCCTTATAGATGGTTGTGAGCCACCATGTGGTGCTGGGAATTGAACCTGGGTCCTCTGGAAGGGCAGCCAGTGATCTTAACCACTGAACCATGTCTCCTGCCCCCTGGGACATCATATCAACCTTTGTACAAGCGGCTGCCTTGTGTGGTCAGCAGGAGCAGAGCTTTAATGCTTCCATTTAAACAGAGGGTGACTGGGACGAGGAGAGAGGTGTTGTGTGCGATCTGCTCACAGCCACAAGGCCAGTAGATCCATTAAAAGAACGAGGGTCAGGGCTCTTCCAGGCTTGCCTTCATTTGTCATTTCAAGATAGAACGGACCCACCCATAACACACCCCAGAGCTGGTCACAGTCATTTAAGATGGGTATGGTTGCTCATCACAGCTTTTGGACTATGGAAGACACCATTTCTATTTAGCCATCTCCGCATCTCGTTTTTTAGGGCACAGGTGTGCCCAGATGGCAATCGAGTGGCAAGTGTCTGAGCTTTAAAGGCTTTCAGGTCTCCCCTCCACCCATGTTTTACAGGTAGGGAAACTGAGGCCTAGAGGGTTTCAAGACCCACCAAAGTCAAGAGCCACAGGTTTCCTGACTCACGGGCCCAGGCTTGACCTTGTGGGCCTCGTTTTTCTTCTTGGTCTGAGGAAGACATTGGTCTCGGTGTAAAGGAAGAAATTTTGTGCTTGTGGGATGCCTTGGGGAGTAGGCAGCGAGTTGGGGCCCTGGGGTTTCTCAGCTGTGTGAACTGGGCAGGTCTGGCCCGTTTACTCATCTCTGGTGGGGACAGGCTCAGCCTAGGAAGACCTTCTTCCCGATGGCGCGTACACAGTAGGAGCTGTGTAGTGTGGAGGATCACTGCTGTTTCTCAAGTCTTTGACCACTGGCAGGAGGAAATGGGCTGGGGTGGGGGGAGGTGTAGAGCTTGCTTGGGGGCTACAGCATGCAGTGGGAAGGCCGGGTAGGAGGGAGAGGCCACACGCTTGCCTTTTCATCACTTGCCTCTTGTCCTTGTCTCCCTCACCAGGCTCGAAGGGCCGTCGGTGAAATCTTTGAGGGCCAGAAGAGGTCCAGCTCATGGCCCAGCAGGACCCAGACCCCCATGCAGATCTCCTCCATCTTCTCAGACTACTATGACCTGGGCTACCACATGAGGTCCAACTTGTTTCAAGGTCAGGTTTAAGAGGCAAGGAGGGGGTTGTGAGCATGGGTGTCCTCCTGGGGTGGACACTGGGCACCGAAGGCCTTTGGAGTGTCTACCTTACCTGAACCTCAAGGCCCAAAGGCACAGCCCTACAGACATTCACCTTACAAGCACCCAAGGCATCCTCCATGCTGCCATGTCCTAGGGGAGCACTGGGGCCACCTAGTCCCCGGCAGGTGTGCTTTCACTGGGCAGGAGACATCACCCACTTAGCAGTGAGGTCTGCCCACACCGGACACCTATGGTTCTCTAGTCTGCAAGCAGGAGGCCCAGGTACTCCTGACCTCTGACGCCCGGTGACAGTGACAATAGCAGCTTTTTTGGGTTCAAAGGTTAGCTTGGCCACTCACTAACTGGGGATGACTGAACAAGGAACTGTTACCTCTCTGAACCTCTGCCCTCTCCTTGTGCAACTGGGTTGATAAAGACAGTGTGGCCCTTATTGCCATGGGCAGGATTCCAGGACAGGAGGGTGACAGGTCATTCGTTTTTTTTTTTTTTTTTTTTTTTTATTTTTCTTTTCCGGAGCCTGGTGTTGACACCACCTTGGGAGAAGGACAGGGTGGGTTGGAGGGGTGCCATTTCTAGAAGGATGACTTGGCCTGACATGAGCTTCATGTCACAGCTGGGCTCGCAGCCAAGAGCTTGAAACCCCTCAGTCATGTGATGAGAAGCAGGACTCACAGTGGTGGTCCCTGGGGTAACAGGATCCTCAGGGCTTCTCTCCATTGCGGGGGAGGGGGACTGGGGCACCCAGTGAGCATTCAGGAGCTCCTCTCTGCAATCTTTCACTGTCAAGGGTTCTCCATCCTCCCTCCAGCCTCCTTCAGTGCTCCCAGGGCCTAGCAGACCTCTTTTCCCTGGCTCAGGTCCCTGTCACCCAAGGAACCAGACTCATATTAGAAAGAAGCCTTTCTGGGTTTTTCTTTGAGCCTGAGGAAGGGGTGGCGCTGGGGAGGGAGGGAGGGAAGGAGGCTAAGTCAGATCAAATCGTCTCTCTTTTGGAGTTTGGGATTCTGCTTTCTCTCTTTGACACTGGACACCAGGGAGTTCTTACCTACATTGTAAAATGTGTGCATGCATATAAAGAGTACTGTTCTTAAGAATCAATGTCCCCCTCACCCAGCCCGGGCAGTGGAAGTGTGCCAAGGGGTGAGCAGGAACCAGCTTCTGCCAGCTCACAAGGCCAGGCACACAAGGGTCCATTGTTGGACTTTCCTGGACTGACTGGCATATAAATGACAACTGAAAACTAGGTGGGAGCAGCCTGTGCTCGGAGATTGGCACCAGAATGAGGGCTTTGGCCGACAGCACCCTAAGCACGTGACTGTCAGTGTCCGTGTCAAGGTCCACACAACTGGGATTCACCTTGGCACTTGCTGATGGGAGTTGGTGAGGTGTGGCCGAATCTGGGCAGCAGAAAGAAGCCAGATAGGAACAGTCTGGGTCATGGATCCTAGAAAGTTTTTTTCCCCCCAGGGTGGAGTTGGATGCTAAGCTAGCGTGGGAGACAGGGGAATGGACTTGTTCAGCTTGAATAAATGGTTTCTCCAGTGCCGTGTGGAGATGGACACGGGGTGTGTGAGTGTGGGTGGTTCTGCAGGGCAGACACAGTGACAGTGGAAAGAAAGAACTGTAAGCATCCAGGAGGGACCCATGACGGTGGTCTGGGGTGTTTGTTAGCCTTTTATTATTGTAACAGAAATGCCCAAGATAATCAACTTTTAAAAAGACTATGCCTGGTGCGGTGGGGCACACCTGCGATTCCAGCACCCGGGGAGGCAGAGGCAGGTGGATCTCTGTGAGTTCGAGGCCAGCCTGCTCTACAAATCGAGTCCAGGACAGCCAAGGCTAGACAGAGAAACCCTGTCTTGAGAAAATAAAAATAAAATAACAAAATAAAAAAGGCTAATTAGGTGTGGTACACGCCTGTTATCAGTACTCAGCAGGCAGAGGCAGGAGGATTACAGTGAGTTTGAAGACAGCCTGGACTGCCTAGTGAGTTCCAGGTTAGCCTTGGTGACAAGCAAAAACAAATGAAAACAAAACAGAGGAAAGCTTTATTGTGGCTCCAGGTTTTGAAGGTCGCCTAGGCTGTGATCAGTTGGCCTCTTGCCCTTTGGTGGCTTTGGTGAGGCAGAAAGCCACCGGCAGGGAGTGTGTGATGGAACAAAGGCCTTCGCCTCATGAAGTGAAGACAAAGGAAAAGAAGGCAAGGTCCTTTTATCACATTGGGGCTCCCCTTCCCCATCCAGTGACCCAAGTCTCCCAGTAGACTCCACCTTGGTGGAAACACCATCTTCCAATAGTGCCAAACTTCGGACTAAGCATTTGACACTGGGCCTTTGGGAGGCATGTTGGGTGCACTGCACATCTGGGTGGCACATCTGGACTCGGGTCACACAGCATTTGTGTAAGGGTGGAGCAGGCTAAGGAGTGGACTTGGGTGTGAGAGCAGGGTCATGGCTGATTTCAAAATACCTGAGCGGCCTGAAGAAGAGCTTCCTGGTTGTGGAGCTGGGACCTTCCAGAAGGAGCGGAGCAGAGCGCAGGATACGCTGAGTCACTCTCCGGTGTGATCCTCTCTGCGTTCTCAGGCTTGCTTTAAGCCCTTACTCCACCTCAGGTCTGCTTCAGCCTGCTCTGAGAAGGATTCTTTTCTAATCCCTCTGTGTGGAGTATCGATCTTCTCCCATCATCCCCCAGGGGCCCGCAGGTGTGCCCTCAGGTTTCCGAGTGTAAGGGGCCCTGGGTTTCGTCTCTATCCACCCATGTGGTATCCCACTGTGGTCACTGAGCTGTTGAGGCACCTGAGAACACACACCATTCAGTTTTAGGGTCACTTGGACAGTTTTCAGAAAAACCCTGTTTGAGTTTTTTTATTAAAGCATATTGACTCTGTGAGCAGGGGCAATTGTGGTATGATACTAATTCATTTTCCAATTTATCGGTATATTGCACAGCTGCTTCCGTTAGGATCTTCCTTCAGTATTTCATAATTTCCAATATGAAGATCTCATTTTGGCATTCATTGCAAATTTTTTTTTTTCTTTGTCTTTGTTCTGAGGGAGAGTAAGTAGCCTTAGCTGGCCCTGAACTCAGAGTGACCCTCTTACCTCAGCTCCTCAACTGCTTGGGGCATAAACCACCATCTCTTTTGTGGATGATATCTTTTTAAAATGTTATTTCCTGGGGCTTGGGGTGTGGCTAAGTGGCAAAGCATTCACTCAGCATGTTTGAGGCCCCAGATTCAAATTAAAAAAAAAAAATAAGTGAGATAGTAAATTTTACATTTTTGCTACTGGTTTATGCAAGAGCCATTTCATTCATTTGCTTGTTGATCTCTTTCCTTTCCTATTTGTAGTGCTGGGGAACCAAACCCCAGCTAGGTAAATAATCCCCCACTAAGCTGTGTTGCCAGCTCACAGCTTTATTTTTGTATATTAATCATATCTAGAAACTCACATAGTCCAATAATTATGGATCCTTTGGAACCTCTTTGAATAATAATATGGTCAGCTGGCCATATACATTCATAACTATATCAATATATTTCTATCTATTTATCATCTTTCTGTATATATAAACTCGTTACTGGAGGCTGAGAAGTGGCTTCATGGATACTAAGTTACTCCAACTGGCCCTGTGTTGACTCTCACCCAGGTGGACATTGAACTTACGAACTTCCTGTTTGAGGTTCCCAAGTAGCTGGGATTATGGGTCTCTGCTACTCCACCTCACTTACTAGTAAGAGAATTTTGGATTTTTTTTTTATTGGGTTTAGGAGGGCCCCACTATTCCTAGTCTGCTTTCCCCCTAGTCTGCTTCCCCCTCCTGAAAATTCTGACTAGACCCTGAGTTTGTTAACCGCTTGTGTCGCTGGCTTCTTTTCTCATTTGTCTAGGAATGTAGTAAATCATAGGAACCGATTTTCTCATAGTAAACCAGGCTTGCTTTGGTTTTTGTTTTGTCTTGTTTTTTTGCAAGCTCCAGGCCAGTGAGAGATACTGTCTCAAAAAACAAAACAAAAAAACAAGGTGAACGATATTGGAGAAGTGAGAACCAAGATAGTTCCTTGTCCTCCAAGTGTCCACAAACACATGTGCAAGCCCCCCTACATGTGTATACACACAGAGACACATGTGAACATATACACCACACACACGCATGCACGCACACATGCACACACACCAGGGTGACCTGGAATTATGTGAGCTACCACAGATGGAGGCTCCAGAGCGAGGGAGAGTGCCTGGGTCTGGGTCTGGCTTTGGCTAGACCCAGCCAGCTAGCTTCAGCCAGCAGGGCCAACCTTCATGAGGAGGAAAGGGGGATCACCTAAACCACTTCACTCACTGACTTTTTGACACCAGCACAGCAGCATGTCCTGCTGTCCCCCGTGTCCCCATCCCTGCTCTTTGATCTTTGGGGGGACATTCTCGGTGCTTCTCTGGTCGGTGCCCGCCCACCCACCCTCTGGAAGCCTGGGGGTAAGACTCATCAGGGCCTGGGGTTATACCCCCCCCTCTACTGCCTGTGGCTGGTTTAGAGAAACATGGGGTTCCCTGATCTGGGGGTACAGCTGGCCCATGCATGCTCCGATCCGAGTGTGTTCTGCGGCGGTTTCCTCTAGACTCCAAGGCAGCCCTGAAGCAAGCTCTAATCCCATCTAATTAGATTTATTCTGAAAGGCATGAAGCAGGGCATGGTCTCTGCCTTGGGGAATCTAAAAAGCCAAAGTAATCCTTTTAAACCTGGCTGTCCCCCCACCCCCAAACCTGACCGTTTACAGAGCCTGCTTTCAAGTCTGTCCAGAGGCTTCTGTGTCGAAGCTGGCTTTGATCCCTGACTGTCACCAGGGCTTCAGGCTTCGGACCAAACCTCAGTTCACTCTGTTCCATGAACCTTACAAGCTGTCTGTAGAGACCGAGCTTGCACATCTGCTTTTTCAGAGCGGTTCCTGGCTTGGTGGCATCATCTGCAGAGAATGCACTAGGCAGTAACTGCAGGTCCTTGGACCTTGTTAGGACCTGCTTCACAGCCCAGCCCACGCTGCTTTTGCAGAGCTGCTCACGAGCTTGCAAATCCTCTTTTGGCTGGAGGCTTTGTGTGTGTCTAAGAGGAGAGGCCTGTTGATGACTTCTGCACAAACCCTGTCAGTCTTGATTAGCGCTCTCTGCTTGATCTATTAATTAGTGAAAGACGAACCTCCAAATCCTTCCCATGGTAGCAGGCCCATCAATTTCTCTCTTGACCTTGGCGTATCTATTCAGGTGCTCGAAATGAAGCAAGCTTAGGACCGTGGTGCTACCTCAGAGAATTAGTTACACACACACACACACACACACACACACACACACACACACACATTAAAGATTTGTTTTTTAAATGTATGTATTAGGGCATGGGACACACATCACACACATGGTCTGTGGGGATCAGAGCATAATTTGCAAGAGTCAAATCTCTGCTTTCATCCTATGTGCCCCAGTGATTGAATTCAGGTCCACAGGCTGAATTCAAACAAGCACCTTCACCTGCTGATCCACACTACCAACCCCTGTTACTTGTATCTTTCCCCTCGACTTTGACTCAGAGGCTGTTTTGTCTGATATAAATGTAGCCGGGCCAGCTTGCGTTCATTTAGCTAATGTATCTTTTTATATCATTTTATACTTCTCCTTGAAAAGTAGGCTTTAACTAATATAGGTCTGGAAGTTATTTACTCTGACAATCTGTTCTCTCTAGCCAGTGAGTGAAGTCAGTTTTTATTTCTGTTGGGGTGTATTTGGGTCCAGCCATACTTCCTTTGTGCTTTTCTTGAGCTTTTTAAACATTTTCGTGAGCTTATTTTCTCTCAATCAGATTTTTTTTTGGTCCTTTCTCACAGCTCTTTTTCATTTTGTAGTTATTTCTGACATTTTTAGGTGCACAGCAGACACATCCTCAAGGGGAGGCATGAGGTTTCCCTGAGCAGTCTCAGGACAATAGCTGGCTGTTTTCACTCTCCCAACTCCCTCTCGGTGCTGTGTCCACTACAGCATCCTGTGGCAAAGTCAAAAGGTTGAGCTTCCGGCCGGCCGAGTTCTCTAGCTTTGCAGCGGTGAGGATTTACACAGGCTCCCTCAGTCTGTGCTCCATAGTTTCATGTGCTTCCTAGGAGGGCTGAGCCAATGAGCAAGTTCCTGGGGAAACATCTGGAGTTTTTCTTAGCTCCTGGTAAACCTTGACACACAACGCAGCAAAGCGGGTTTGGCGGTATGGCTCCACGTAGAAACTCTGACCTCGGGTGCCTCTGGGTATGTCTGGGAGGTAGTTTCTAGAGACATCAACTAAGGGTGTGTTGGGGTGGGGGTGGGGATCTGGCCTGGGTGTTGGTGGTGCCTTCCATGCTTCCTGGCTTGTCATGACTTGAGCGTCCCTCTTCCCACACCCTTTCGGACACCTTGAACTGAAAGCTCTGGAACCATGAACCTTCTTTACTCCCTTTGGTGGTTGGGCTCAGGCATTTTGTCACAGTGACAAAAAAAGCTGATTGACACAATGCCTGGTGCCAGAGCTGTGAACTCTTTGACGAGCATGGGACTCTGAAAATAGTCTGTGGAAGGAATCTGGAAAAGTTTGGAGTCTTGAGCCAGAGAAACCCTGGAGGGAAGCAGAGTTGAAAGATAGGTTCGATCCTCCCAAGGCAGAGAGAGACCTTATCCCTTCACATAGGCACAAATCTGAAGTTCGGAGAGGTTAAACATGGAGGCCATGCTGAATGTTCCCGCCCACCCCTTCTTGTCCATGCCCACTGCCCATGCCCAAAGGGGAAGAAGATACTAAGATATAGCATAGGACTGCCCTCCTTTGGTGACTTGGGGATTTTTTTTTCATGGCGTCCGACAGGCCCACCCCAGGAGACAAAGAGCCTCATGAAGGCTTCCTACACGCCGGAGGTGATTGAGAAGTCAGTAAGGGATGTAGAACACTGGCATGGCAGGAAGACAGACGAGCTGGGTAGGTGCAAACGGCTGAGGGGGTGGCCCTCTCCTCCATGGGGGGAGGGGGGAGTGGCTTCAAGACGCAGAGCAGGAGGTGGAATCCTGGGGGTGGGCTTAAAGAGGCCTGGGTCCCAGCCACTGGGGTCTGGTCCCCCCGGAAGCTGTTTCCCCCCCTGTGATAGTCCCTCTCCTGCTCCCTGCAGGCCGGTGGCACCGGAAAAATGCTATGAACATGAACTTGCAGAAAGCGCTGGAAGAGAAATTCGGACCAAAGAGCAAATCCAAGGGCAAGTAGTTGAGAGGAGGTTGGAAGGAAGCTCGAGGAGGGTGCTGCCAATAAAGAGATAAAGGCTCTGGTCTGAGCCCTGCCTCTCTGTGCTGCTGCTCTCCAGAACGGGGACGGTGCGTGGGTCTGGAGGAACAGCTAAGGAAGACAAGCCATGAGCACCTCCTCTTTATGCCTCTCCCCCTTGACCTCAGGAGGAGTTGGGGGAGTTGAGCCAGTGTGCCCTGGGTGACAGGTCCTCTTGTACCCTGCGTGTGAGTCCGTGGCTGATGGTTACTGTTTCTGGATGCCTGTTTTTCCAACATGTACCCACAGACTTCAGAGAGATTGTCCTTATCATCCATCTCTTCCAACCTATGCACAAAGTGCAGAAATGGGCCAGTGAGAACGATGACCAGGCATAGGTCTGAGATGCTACCTGGGAACACGTCTTCTCCTTCCTTCCTCCTTTTCTTTCTTTTGTGTCTCCTCTTCTTCCGATTCCTTCCTTCTATTCTTTTTTTCTTGTTTGTTTTTTTTTTCTCCTCCTCCTCCTCTTTATTGTCTTTTTTTAGATAAGGCCTCAGTACCTTGAACTTCTGATTTCCTTGCCTCTACCCTGGTGCTGGGTTGTGGGCAGGAACCACCGCACCCAGTTTATGAGGTACTGTGGAATCAAACCCAGGCGTTTGAACTATACCCTTATTCCCAAAGGTACTCCATGTCCACCAGATAACCATACTACGGCAGCATCAGACCTGTGCCAGGCACCACGGACACAGTCCTGTTAGGTGCCAGGCACATGTAACACAGTCCTTGTGCTCGGGGCATCGCGGTCTGCAGAGAATTGATGGGGAAGCTGGTTCTGACCAATGCACTGTGCATACACAGGTGGATACGTCACAACGCCTGCCTAAAGGGCAAAGCAAGGCATCCGTAACTGCATATAGCAAGACCCCTGGGGAGCCAAGGGGGAGATGTGGATACAGATGGGAGAACAACTTGGGTCACTAAGATGGACCAAAAGGGGCACAACATTCAGGACATTGTGCCGAGTATGAATTCCTAGCAAGGAGTATTTGGGGGGATGGATGTGCCTCAGGAAGCTTGGAGCAGAGCTCCATGCAGGAGAGGTAGGGGCAGCAGGTGGTTTCTCCTTCTAGGAGCTTATGATCCGGTTGAAACATACAGGGAAAAAAAAAAAATTCCTGAAGGCATGCTCATTATTCTGAGTCATCAGAGATGCAGATGAAAACAATCAGTTCACCAGACTGACATAAATTAAAAAGCAAGTATAGAAAACGTGGTGCCTCATCGCCGAGACAAAAAAACCTGACCACACTTAAGGGTTTGTGTGGCTCAGGAGTGAGGTCTCTGGTCACATTTCAGGCACAGTCAGGAAGCAGGAATTACGATTGCTGGTCCTTTATCTATTGTCTTGGGTCTGGGGCCTCGGGCCACAGAAAGGGCTGCCCAAATTAAAGTGTTCCTACTTCAGTTGCCCTGATGTAGGTGCTCTCTCACGGACATCCATCCCTGGAGGTTTGTTTCTGTGGTAATTCCAAACCCCGGCAAGTTGACCAATGAGAACGAGGGCACATTTAAGCACACGTCACATTTGTCATGGGAAGAGAGTGATTTCCGTTCTGGCCTCTCTCCGAATCAGCTCATGGACACTGTGCTGTCAGCACCCTTCCTCCCACCAGAAGGCACTCTGCCAGCTGCCTCTCTCCCCAGAGGGTAGCACTCATTTGTAAACTCTTATTTTATTTGGGGTTCCTTAATGCCTCTCCCTTTCAACCCCCAGCTCTAGGTAAGAGGAGGTTAGTGGGGAGAGGGGGTGTAGACCTCTTTACTTCTCCCAGCTGTTTCAGGTCGAGGGGTTCTTTTGGGGGTTATACCTGCCTTTGTCAATGGCAACTCAGTCTCCTCTCCAAGCCGCCACACCATCCGTCTCTGGTCTCTCGAAACTGCCACTCACCGCATGTTTTCTTTCTGGGCTCTCCTATTTATATCCTCAGAGCCCTAGACCACGCTCCTCTCCCTGCCTCAAGAGGCAGACCAGGCTGTCAACAGCTGGCAATAACCACACCCTGCGTGAGACAAATTGTCAGCTGTGGCCAACTAAAGCCCAAACTAAAACCCCGCACTTCGGATTAAAACAAAAACATATTTACATAATGTAATTTGAGTTTACAAAGAGCCCCCTAATTCCTGTTACACCAGAGCGGCTCTGGAAGTCAGCTAAACGCAGCCTGAAGGTGGATCCCTAGGATGCTCTCAAGCCCTCCCTCCCTACTCTTAAAGTCACCCCATGAGCTGTGGTCAGCCTTTGGGTGGTGACATGATTAGTGTTGGTTCTCAACCTGTGGGTCGAGGTCTCTTTTCGAGTCTATCTATGCCATCTATCCCGCATATCAGATATTTATATCACCATTCAGAACAGCAGTGAATTTACAGTTAAGTAGCAGTGAAGCTTGAGGGACTATAATAAAGGGTCTCAGCGTGAGGGAGGTTGAGAACCACTTGGCTCTTGGAGGACACATTCTTCAGGCTGTCATTTGGTGTCATGGCACAAGGTGGCCTGGCTCTGTGATGATGTGTCGGGGTTGGGAGTGGAGGTTCATTCCTTCCTGCTGCCCATTTGTCCTCAGTCCAGCTGAAGGACGTTTGAGTTGTGGTCTTGTGTGTCAGTACTGCGGTATTTAGGGCGGGTTCCCTCTGCCTGTGTGAGGGGTTTTCGGTACTCTCAGAAACGGACAGTCTGGATAGAAATTCTGGATAGAATGTGCCATGGCTCTAACTCAGTTGAATATTTCATCTCAAGACAAGAAGAGCTTGGTTTAACTCTTTTCTAGAGAGAGCTTAGCTGTGTCAGCAAACTAAATTAAACATGTATAGCTTTTGTTTCGTTTTGGTTTTTACCCAAAGGAGGCCTTGATCTCCTGGTCTTGCTTCTGACAGCTCTCTTGGCTCTTCTTGGTAGAATTCAGAGTGACTGGTAAGTACCATGTTCAGGGACCAGCTGCCAAGTGACACTGATTAACATAGTGAAAATTGATCTAGATACCATAATTTGTGTTATGTCTATGTCCCACAAAGAGAAGCCCCCCAAGGATGGCCTAAAATAAGACATGGCTGTTTCATACCTTGGCTATGATCCCAGGCTACCTCAGCCCATGTTGGTACAGTCCTTCAGCCCTCCACCTTCCTGGGAATGGTACATTCCCTCCTCCTGTATATGTTGTCTTGTGACCCCTCCTGGATGGACGTCACAGGAAGCCACTGTTTGGGACTAGGCCGCTGCACCCCATGTTAAAAGTTTCAACCACTAAGACGACACCCATTTGTCTGCTCTGCTGAGGAGGCAGGAGCCATGAGAGGTTAGAGTCAAATTACCCAAGAGACACAGGCGTGGAGTCCCCCCTGGCTTCAGTTTACCACGGAGGCAATCAGAATATCCTGATACTAAGTAGGCATTTCTTTGCTGCTTTGCCTCCCCATCCTCCCTTACAGGAAAGCTATCTTGGGAGGAACACCCTGCCGTTTGGCTTTGTTTCTACCCTTCCCACTAAGCTGTTTTGGGTCTGTCAACCCAACCGGTTCTGTGTACTCATCAGAACACTCGTTCTACTCGATGGAATAAAATATGGTTGCAGAATTGATGGTAAACATCTTAAAGCTGGATGTGGAGGTATCTATAATCCTATAATCCTAGCACTTGGGGACAGGACTCAGAGAGAGAGAGAGATATCAAATATAAAGATCTTTAAGATTTTAAAATTGAATGGGTGTAATTTTATCCTTTGACACATAATACATGCTGGAGCTTGGGATTCAAGCCAGGTGGCCTAACCTGAAACCCATACCTCATTCACCAAGCTACCCTACCCCACTGAAGTGCAAACTGCGGTTTTCTCAGGAATTCAGGCAGGCATGGACGAGGCTTCTAGAATGTTTGTCTAAAGTGCAGAGGAGGAAGTTCACATGGAGATTTTATTGTATGTGGCGAGTCCTTAAATTCTTCCAGAAAAGAAAGTACCAGATATCCTTCCAAGCTGGTGATGAAGGAGGAAGAGGAGATCCTGTAGATGCATTTGGTGAGATCTGGGTCAGAGCCAGGCCAAGGACCCAGGGTAGTAATTGCTAGGCGACCAGGACTTCTGGTCTATGGTGAAAAAGTCATTAAGGGACCAAAGGGGAAAGGGTAGAAGTCTTAAGAAATACTCTATAAACAAATGGGGAAACCAAGGCACACATGTAGAGAGAAATGGACTGCTGAGGTCCAGAGGCACAGAGGTAGGAGTTGAATCCAGGTCTTTCCAGGGTGGACTTACAATGGGGACTTCTTGGAGACCTTGCAGCTTTTTCTAACTATTGTGGAGTAGGGGATGGGGCTCGGTCAGGGCCGGGGCTCAGCTGACTCTCAGGTTCCTGTACATAGGAGAGTTAAAGACTTACTTCCCTCGAAAGAGCCCCCAGGGCAGTGGCCGAGCAATGACCAATCAGAGAAGTGCACAGCAGCCTCCGTATTCCCCACAGGCTGTTGCTCTTTAACGCATTAAGAAAGAAAAGGCTTTCAGGAGACACGGAGAAGCTGAGAGGAGAGGTCACAGGCATCTATGGGGTCAGACACTGTACCACAGGGTGGCTCTGAACAGAGCTTTGTCTTTAGGAGACACATGGTCCGTTCCTGGCTGACCCATCCTTCACCAGATGGCTGAGGATGGAGTTGGGAGAGCCCTGAAATTCCTGGGGAGTGGAGCGAGTCAGAAATGCCTGTATTCAGTTTAGTACCTTCCCTAAGCTGCTAAACTGCCAGCAGCTAGCAGCTCCAAAGCAGGGTGGGATGACAGGAATAGCTTCTGAAATTATGGCTTTTAATAACCCCACCAGTCTGCTAATCTCAGAGACTCCTCCCTTCTCAGCTCAGAAAACCTTTCCCTCAGTCTCTAAGTGGGAAGAGGGCACCTTGTTCTGCGGGTTCCCCTGCCCCTACCCACACACCATACACATAATGGCGGCATTATCAAAGGATTCGAGATCCCCCTCAGTCTGTGTCTGCTGGGCTGTCATTCACAGCTGGAAGAGAAATCA